TTCTGAACGATTGAAGTCTGAGTTGATGTTATTGAGATGAAATATTTTTGTTTTGAATTAATTTTTAACATTCTGCTTTCTTTAAAGGAAACTTATATAAGTAAGTTCAGTGTCGGATTGAGACCTCCAGGGTCTGCCGGTCAGAAGAGAGAAAGCTCCACCATTTTTTCCATGGAGCGATTCCTTGAAGATCAAAAAAAGGCCTCTATGCACAGTGATGCTTCTTCTGAGGGTTTCTTCGCTTCAGGGCTTACTGACTGAACAAGGACCCACTGTCTGAACGAGGATGCACTACCTAAACGAGGGCCCCCCACTGCTTAAACGAGGGCTCATTGCTTGAATGAAGGCTTACCGGTCTTTTAACAATCCGACACTAAGTTATAAAGACTGGTAAAATGAAATGATATAGGCCATTGCCACTGCGCATGTTTTTTCTATTCAACGTTAATCTATACTGGTTCACGTAAACAATGGCTGCCATTTTCTTCGTCTTTTTGTGGGAAATTCAGCAAAATGATTGTTTCTTTTAATTTTAGCGCCCTCTAAAGGGATAAAAAATTATTACCTATGATAAAGTGTATATTTTAAACAACATATTTATGCCAGCTACAAAAATCGCCATACTATGCTGGATCTTTCCTCTTTAACAAACTGCCCCCAAACATAAGGCTTCCAGAAAGATATTAAACAGCTTAAATGAGTACCTACAGTCCACGGTTGCTGAGCTGATATATGACATTCTCATTTTATAGTATGTTATATTGTTACTATGTAATTTTTATTTTACCTTATTCATAATTTGTAGGGATTCAAATGTCAATAAAAATTATTATTACATATTATACTCTTCATCGATTTCAAGCAGACGTTTGAAAGTGATAAAAAAAGTGGAAATTTAGAAAAGACTGGTCAAAATGAAAATAAAAAAATCGCGATTATTAAAATTGATAGAGAACAGTTTACAATATTTAAATAAATTGTATTAATAACAAATGAGCCGCCATTTTTATTCATAATTTTGATTTTATTTTAGCCACGTTCTCCTTTGTTTTCAAATAAGCACTTTATAGTCTACCGTATTTTAGAGATTGTTTTTCCTTCTCAAAATTGCCTTTACAGTTTTATTTCAGGAAGTTAATTTAATTAAACAAGTTATTAATTAATATTGACCTTTATCCCTCTCTCACTATCTTCTCATCTAATTTTCTGTTGTTTTAGATATTTGTTCCTTAACCAAATATTTATTCAGACTCGTCTACATAAACGTACTACGTAAACTGTATCAACTGTAGTTTCTGTCGGTTGCATCTCCACAATGCCAAAGATGGAGTATCTATCCCCTGCGGACGCTGGCCGGCATAATCGACCACCGAGGGTTCCAGCTCACCAACTTCTCCATAAACGGCCGTTAACAATTAGTATCCCTCGGTTTATTAACTCGCCCGACCGTCCGCTGGGTGGCGCTCGTATGAAAATTGATGTTTTAAGTTCGGCAGAAAGGGTTTTAGTTAAGTTTCCCGTCCCGGTCGTGATCTTTATTACTAGTAGTGCGAGTATGAAGATCGATGATGGAAATGAGGAGCGATAATTTGGGGTAATTTTCAAAGTTTAGCGAATCATAAAGTAGATATCCCTAATTTTATACAAAGAGGTCGGTTTACTGCGATTTCTTGGAAGACGAAGTGTAAACTACGAAAACTAGGATCGAAATGTTCACAAAGAGTAGGTAAGAGGTAGGTGCCAGAAATTTTCGGCCTCATATAGAAATATATTCTGTTTTTATTAAAAAATATTATTAGAGAACTCAATCCCTCGCGAACGAACAAACACACAAACAAACAAATAAACAAACAAACAGAGTTGAAAAGATTTCAACTCGAACTTAGTAATACTGTAAAATAAGTTTTAATAATAAAATGAGTATTTTCTTTAAATTTTCAAATTCAAATTGTGGTTCTTTCCAGTCACATACTACTTTCTAGTCCTTTGTTTTTTTAGACAAATTTGGTACACATTTTTACACATAGGTAATCATGCCCAGAAATTATTTTATTTGCATTTAATTTAATGAAACGCTGTCTTTTGGAAACTAAAGAACTTTATTGTTTTAACCAGAACCAGTATGGAGCGCTACTGTCGTCTCAAATTCACGCACAGTTCAGTAGCGTAGTTAATTATTATTAGCACTAGGTTTTATTAATACAATATAAAGACCTACTCTGAGAAAAAATAAACAAATTGCCAAGGGACATGAAGAGAGACTCCACAATCACTCCAACATTGAAGTCCTTCAACTTTTTAGGCAATTAGGAGCTAGTGCGTAGACTTAAAAAAGCCAAACCTTTTAAGCTTGTCCAAGTAACGTGATGGTATGCTATGTCTTATCAGAAAAAACGTACTTAGACCACTCGTCTATATTGTAATCACTTCTGACTTACCTATCAGCAACAATGTGACCACTATAGACGACATTGTTGTTTTATCATCTCATCAAAAACAGACTATTGTTTCTTAAGGACTTACAATCCACCTGGTTTAAGTGAACATAAAGAAAACAATCACGTTCAATGATCATCGGCTACAATAATAGTAATAAGAGTAATAAAAGCGGACTCACTCAAGCAATTAACATTGACAGTAACTATATTATATTTTCTATTTGCATTTATTCAAAATAACCTCAAAATATTATTCCATGAGTAGTTTTTTGTATACCAGTAGGTAACAATACTATTTAGTTAAAAAGTAAGACGTATTTACCTTTCAAAATAAAATTAATTTCCGGACCAGCTTACAAGAATTTCCGTAATTTTGAAAAAGCGATAAACTTCCAACAGCTTTTTCCGCACTTTTCGGCCGTGTCTTCCTGTACATAAATAGTAATAAAAAAAGACAATGCACAAATACTCTTTCTATAACATCGAACGAGGCTGCCGTGAGGAGAGCTGGGTTGAGAAGAAGAGGGGGTGTTCGGCGTTATCCGCAGCATCATACGGTAAATTTCCCTCGAGGACAGAGGGAGTTAGAGTTGGCTATGATGAAACGGTAATGTGTGCCGGTATTTTGGTGCAATTCCAGTGACGTACGTCAAGAGCCAATTATTATGTTACGGATTTAAGAAGGTATGCCAAAGCGTAGTGTATGCAACAAAGTAAGAACATGGTGTAGCAACTGCATTTATTTAAAATGTATACACCTCATCATCCAGATTTCATCAACGTTCTTTTTTCTACATAGCGGAATATTAATATTAATAACTCTCAAATATTGCAGGAACTTAAACTTAAAAATATTGATACTATCTAGCTTACTAAGTGCTATGGAAGGAATAAAACAGATATACCCAATCAAAAAATAGACCAAGTAGCCACTGAATCAATATTAAACACAAGCAATAATACTCTCCCTAATTCACCCCCTTACGAGTGAATTTTAACTCCAAAAGCTGAGCTTGTCCGGGGAAAGGTATGGTTGTTATTATTATGATTAAGAAATTCCTTCAAAGAAATTAGAGATAATAAAAACTATATGGGAACAACAGCGAGAACAGTGTTCAAATCGACTATGAATAGACCATTCATCCATAACACACTAACTTAATTAAAAAAAAAAAAATACCAACCCAGTGTTAAACCTAGCAAGTCCTTTAAGTGTAAAACATCTAGGGATACAATGTGCAAATTTCAGATCTGAAAGAATTCAATACGATATAGATAATAAAGTAAATATTTAGTTCTGTCATAAACCCATAAACTGGACTTTAATGTAAAACTAACAAATATAGAAATATGGCAGGGAACTTAGAGAAATTTTAGAAAATTTGACAAATTTTTCCTCGCATTTTTTCTAAATTTTATGGCTTAGTTGGTGTCTACCAAATTATCCAGTCTTGGTTTGTGATTTTTATTTATTTTTATTAATTATATCTTAAAGATAATATACCCTAATATTTTCCTTTGAAGCAGCGCTACTGATCAGAAAGAGTAGCTGCAAATTATCAAACATGGAACGACTACAAGCGACACAAACAGTATTCTTAAAACTACCGCTAGGTATTGGCGAGGGAGTAGAAACAAAAGTTTATATTGGATAGTATTAATAATACATTTTATTTCAACAGGTAGGTATTGCGATAAATATCAACATAAATGATAAAAAAACAAGATTTGGTTTTCCTGGAAATTATATGATTTCACGGTTTCCTACTTTAAATTGGATCTTCACTTATTATCTATCCTTTAAAATAAATATTTATGAATGTTTTCCGAAAAAATGTATACAAAACCACTTGTTTAGTGACACCCTGTTTGTGGCTTTTCCCTTGAATCCCGACACATCATTTATAAGGTTATAAACATCGTAATGGCCTGGATTAGGCTGATAATTGAAAATTGTGTAACATTGTGTTTTGTTTTCCATTTTCCAGGAAAGCACGGATTTACGCGACGTGGAAATAATGGAAGAATTACTCTGGAAATGTGTCGCCATAAACGTAAAGAAAACAATGACAATTTCCAGGAATTTTAACGACACTTGAATCCTCTAGAGTGTGGCTCGTTTCATCGATGGGTACTTAAAAAAACCAATTATAATTGCGATATTTATTAATTGTGTAGATTTAAAAGAGTAGGTACTTTGATAATGTAATAGTCTAATAAATGCAGCATTTTGGTTAAAGCATGTATCAGATATCTGGAAAGTAGGCAAGATAATAATTATTGCCAAATAGTATTATTATTACTGGTCTAAACTAAACGTGTTTTTTTTCTTCTAGATATCCTATTATTAAAGATATTCTTCATTTTAGGTTACTAAACGAATTATCTTTATAAATACTCTAGTTTTAGGAAATCAAAAGACAAATTAAAATTATAAACAATAAAATTATATTGAGAAAAAATTATATTTTCCAGTGTTTTTCCAAAAGCAGCATTAAATCTTCTAGAAATACCGGAAAAAATATTTATCATAAATAATAGCATTAAATTAACAAAACTTACTTTTTCTCCTCGTGAATCCTTGTAGGTAATCCACTGATTCAAAGATGGCCGCCAATATTCGACTAGAAAAGCCTCGGCAAATTCCTGGCCTTGACCGTTACCGAATCGTCCTTGGGTCTCGGTCCATGTCATTAAGTGGTTCTTCTGGAGATCGACTTCTAAGTACTCTTTTACGTCACTGCTGATTTGTGCTTTGGGACACCAAGCACCCCCGTTCTTTTCTTGTCGAATTCTGAAACAAAACACATTTAATTGAAATATATTCAATAGAAAATAGTTAAAGAAAATATACTGTTTATTAATTTAAATTGATCGTAAGTCTCTATGCTAGACGAAGGACCAGATAATGTACTAATTTTTAAAAATGGTGGTTGACGATCGACAAATATGACAAAAGGATATATAGAATAGTAGTTTGTGTAACAAGAGTGGATATGAATAATTCACTCGAGTTGTACCGGGTGTTCCATTAAGAGAGGTAACCGGCTATATTTCAGAAACTAATAATAGTACAGCTTTAGCGAAAAAAATATTTTTAATAAAAACGGTCAAGAGAAATTGCTGGAAATTATTTTAAAGTTTGTAGGGTGGCCGCTAGGGGGCGTAATTGTGACGTCAAACATAAATTTTTCTCAAAAAAATACCAAGTAAAGTATATTGATAAATATTACTGTTTTAATCTTTAGGTGTAATTTTTGTCAGTTGTGAAATAGAGTGGTGGGGGAAGGTTAAACTTTAATTTGGAAAAATGCTCATAACTCCGGTTTGGCTTTACCGAATTTAGTGAACTTGGTTTCGTTTAGAAGAGCTTTTTCGTTTATAAGCTAATATCTATAAGGGTCTAGAAAAAAGTATTATTTGCTAACTGGACGTATTCAGCAAGTTTTTCAAAAAGAAATTACAGGGATTAACATCTACTAGTATAAGTAAAAAGGAAGAGACTATCAGAGAAAATAATGTAGGATAAAATATTTCCTTTTCAGATAAAACACCGAATAAAATTAATATTTGTAATAAACAGAATTGTAAAGAACGTTTTTGATTATTTTTATGTCTTGTTTCATATTATTATTTCTATATGAGTTGTAACAAAAAATATCGTTAATTACTTGTTTTTAAATCATCTTCCTGTCCTTACATGATTTTAACGCCACTTTCCGGCACACGTATGTCATATTTCAATGATTGTGATTAATGATTAAGTTTTCGAACAATAATTTATACAGAATAGTATGTTTTTACCTGTGGGGTTAAAAAATAGTTATATTTTGATGATTTTGGAGTAATAAATACAATTCCCTTAGTGGGAAAATAAAAAAGCAAACAAGTTTATATTCCATTAATGCCCAGGAACAACTCTAATAATAAAACAGCTTGTGAAAGATCTGGTATTGATGGTTTTGGTTACTACATAATCCACCATGTACCTACCATTTTAATGACCCCAACTAACAAACCCTCTCAGGGCTCAACCATTAATTAACAGTTTGTCTGTTTTGGGCATATCGTAAAAATAAAAACCGAGCATGATGCCGAAACGAAAAACACGAACTACTTAACTCATGTTCTTTCCGTAATAAAATTCCGTTAATTGATTTAACTACTGTTATAAAAATCCACATTGGGTGGGGAAAAAAAGCTGCAAAACACGAGGAGCAATTTGATTTTTGTCCTGCAGAAAACGTGCAACGCAAATGGCCAGAACTAATAGTTTTTTCGGAGTGCAAAGGCAATTTCCTTGTTTTTTCTCCCCTAAGTTGGACGCTTCGAGGCAGGACCGTCTGAAGGTTTGACAGACAAAAGTTAATTCCAAATCTTAAAATAGATTACGAAGAAAATAAGGAAATAAACACAAAAAGCTGTTAATCACTAGCATTTTTTATTAGTTTTTCCAAAATGTTTTAAAGTTTTAATGTTTAAAATCACAAAAAGTGGTAAAAATTCTGAAATAGTATTAAAATTAAATATTTATGTTTTTCCGCTATATTGTTTTTAAACTAGAAGGAGCGAATAGAAAAGACACATTTACACAGGGAAAAGTAACTAGATTAGTTATTAATAGCGTGTTCCGAAATAGTCATGTTCAAAATCTATGAAATAGTTACTATTATCGGCCCTAGTCGATGTTGACAGATGAAAGGTGATGTTGCTTCGAGATGAAATCTTAGTAATATTAAATGGTATTTTTGTAACAAATTGAATGTCATCCACTAAGTTATTGACTAATTTGTACAAGCAGATAACTGAATCACTTCTTATGGATAGGGTATCCCCGTGGGAGAGAAAGTAATTTCAGAAACCTTTGTTGAATCGATTATAAGCTATCAAAATGTACTTGGTACCGAAGCATATTCAAGATTGAATCTGACGTACCCATAAAATGCTTGATATGTTAAGTATTTGAATTTATTTAAGGAGACACATCGAGTTAATGTATGTAATGCCCGACATGGAAGTTGAACACTTCTTGTGAGATGATAAAAAAAATTAAATTTCACTGTCTAACCCTAGTAATATAAGGGTAGACAAGTTGGAGACGGTTCACTCATAAAAAATCTTAAGCAATTTCATTTTTAAATTATAGTGTCTCTCGTGGTGTGACTTACAGGCAATGTCATCACACATTGGTAGGTTTTTTCCTATTATAATTAACAAATCACAATTGACAGATGACAATTGATATATGACAATTGATATATGACAATTGATATATGACAATTGATATATGACAATTGATATATGACAATTGAATGATGAACATTGACAGATGACAATTGACAGATGCCAATTGACAGTTGAAAATTGACAGATGATAATGGAAAGATGCCAACTGACAGATGGCAATTGACAGATACCAAGTAACGTTAATCTCCCAATGATGTTATAATATTTAAACATTTAACATAAAAAAAAACCGAACAAATAAAAAGTTTTACAGATAAACACACAAATTGCCGCTAAGACAATTGAAGATAAATCATTCTTTATTATGTGTTATTACTTTATAAAGGGCGTAGTCTCATAGGAGCATCCATGTTTTTAAAATTATTTCCAGTTCGAGTCCACGAATAGTATATTTTTTTTAATACTTTTTTAGAACATATGAAGTTATTTTTAGTGATGCTGCGAGATGAGAGATTCTCGTCTCTCGTCTGGTCTTGTCTCGTCACATAAGAGACGAAAGAAACATTTTCTCAAAAAAAGATACGAAACGAGAGAGCGCCATCTCTCGACGAGAATTTCTCGTTTATCTCGAGCTCTATCGAACTCTCTCGAGCAATCTAATTTTTGCTTATTTAAAATTTTCAATTGCTTATCGTAACTTAAAATTTAAACATCAAATTTCAAGATAGTCAAAAAGTTAGCTATGTCCCACGTGTGTAATTGGGCTTTATCAATAGTGATTTATAAGAAAAATAATATTCCATGTCACATATTTAAAATTAATTTTAATTAGAAGCAGAAAGAAGTTTTTTATTTACTTAAAATAAAAATTTCAAACGAAAAAAGTTGATTTCAGTAAATATTCTAATCAATGATAAATCCGTATTCGAATTTTTTGAATTTTTATCAAATTTGATGTTTGGAAGTGATGCAGAACTTTAAAAGATCTTTTCTTTTTTGTGAAATGTAAGATACAGTTTTTTCCATTCGTTTCAAACTTTTTGGGACACAATTTTTGAGTCAGATTTTGTTGTTCTTACAACTTGTTAAATAACCTACAGCAATTTTTTATATCGCGAATTATTCCAGACAAGAAAAAAATAACACAATAGTGTTCCATGCCATTAATTAGAGTTGATATGTTAATAGATTTAGCTGGCAGGCGCTGATACAAAGTATCAGTACCGCAACTTTCTTTCTTTGTATAAAAAACTATGCAACATACAGAATCGTAATAGTTTTTATTCAGTCAAATTTTCTAAGGTTACTTTTGGAGATAAATTGGAAAAACAACAATTTTTAAGTGTTTTTTCGAAAAATTGTCAAAGAAAAAGTAAAACAAACGATCATATATTAAATTTTTAACATGCTTCAAAATGCTTTCTTTTGATATTACACCATGGCATCAAAAAATACTAACTTCCAAATGAAACCCTTCCCCCAAATGACTTCTAAGACAAAGTGTTTACATCTTTAGTTAACGCTTAATTTGGGCCACTGATTCATTCAAATTTCAATTGTTAATGTCAAATAGTATTTAAGTAAAAAGGTTGTGACAGACCAGACGGACAGACAGAAAGACACCGAGGTACAGTTCATCAAATTTCTAGAGGTGATCGACGCCCAGACAGAGAACGCGCTACGTGTGACTAAGATAGCTATTGTACAGTCTGCTAAACAAGTTATTTTAAATAGTTTTTAATATTTTTAGGTAATTAAATTTTAAAAGTGTGGAATAGTTTAGGGATTAAATTGGTCTGATTGGACTTTCTTAGAACGTTTTTAAAAGCAGCTAAAGATAGTATGTAGAATTGAAAATAATTATTATGCCATAAAAGGTGTTTTGGAATTCCTTCAACCTTTTGAAATTGAGTCAGAAAATATAAATTTTATAGGATAGCGGAAAATACCTATAATTTTTTTGTAGGCCTTTGTAAATCGTGGAAATAGTTTATATTTTATTTCTACCTTATTAAGGAAAATGGTACCTATTATTAATAACGGTTGTTTCTGAAACATTACTAAAATTTTCGAAATTTTGTTTTTCTACAAAATAATAAACTATACTATTAAGAAAAAAATTTATTTCTCTTATAATTTTATAAAAAATAACAGGGGAATATTTACATTTCTTGATCTATTAAACAAAACGATAAATTATCTCGACGAATGACACCATGTTCTAGTACGGAAGCTAACTTTACATTTTTGTTGGTAGTTTCATGGGTTTCATATCAATTTTTTGTAATTGTAGTTTACACGTACATATACCTCTTAACACTTGTTTGCTTTATTAAAAAAGTGTGTTGTTGTGATTTACGTCGAAATAAGTCAAAAACAACTTGAAACCCCATATAAAAATAAAAAAGGAGAAACGGAAAAAAATTGAGCCTGTAAATAAACACAACTCAAAAACAAAAATAGCTATCTAATAATAAAAAAATAAAATTTGATTCTTGTGCAGCTTCATCTATATCATTAACTGTTTTTGGTTTTTTAATGGTTTTTCTTGGTGATGAAAATTCCGATATCTCACGGTTATCGATTCTTTTTTTCTCTCCAGAAATG